TCGACAGGCCGCCTCTGGTCTGCTCCGTCCTCGCCCATTTCCAGTCATCGTCCTCGTCGATGGACTTGAGGATCGCCTTCGCGTTCGTCTGCTTTTCCTTGATGTCTTTGACCAGCTTGGCTGCGTTCTGCAGCGCCCCCTGGCTCTCACTCCTCGGCTTCGGCACTGGCCGTGCGCGAGCATCAGGCGTCGGCGGCGCAGAGGCTGCAGCAGCAGGAGCTGAAGGACTCGTCGTATGCTGCTTCGTCAAGGCCCACTTCTCCCTGAAGGCCTCTTTGTACTCCTGCTGGAAGTGCATGTATTCCACGATGCCCGCGCGCTCGTCCAGGCGCGCATACGGCCAGCCCAAATCCAGGCACTGAGAGCATGCCTGCGCGCACCCCGCGATCGTCTCGGGATCGCTCTGGCCCGCTGGCCCCCCCTCCTCGCGCAGCATCCTCAAGAACGTGACGGGCTTCACCCTGCTGAGGAGCTCGTCCTCGGTCTCCTTGATCATCGTCTTGGGCTCCTGGATGAGACCCTTGATCTGCTTCTCCGCCCATTCCTTCTTCAGCGAATCCTTCTGGGACGCGAGGTCCCACCTTCTTGAACTCCTTCTGCTGCTCAGTCTGGGGGGCCTGCAGTTCACGCTGGAAGCGGTTGCCAAGCGCGGACCTCATGTCGAAGTGCTCCGTGTAGCCGCTGTCCATGTACGTCTTCAGGGCATCGTCACCTACTTTGTGGCGCGCACCTGTCCGCCTCCAGTCCTTCGCCGCCGCGTCATCGGCCAGTCGTGAGGGAGGGCCCAGCAGCCTCGACTTGTCCGACATGTCGACCATCTTCTGCAAGCCCAGAATCGCCTTGGTGAACTTGTCGGGGGTGGATTCCACGGCATCCTTCGGCTGGCCGCCAACGGGCGTGAACGGCGTCGAAGGCGCACCAGCCCCTGCCGCCATCGCCCCCGCGCGAGGAAACTCGCCCTCGGAGCCCGTCACCGCGCTCAGCCTCGCGCCCGCCGCGGACAGCTTGGCGCGCGCCTCGGCCAAGGCGTCGGGCGCGCCACTCGGCTGCGCGAAACCAGGGTGGCTGTCGACCAGGCTCGCGCTCTCCGTCGGGCTGTGCATGCCCTGGGCCAGTGCCAGCTGCGTCTCGCCTCGGCCTCCGTCGAATGCAAGTTCGGTGGTGTTCCTCCTCGGTGGCCTCGCGCGCCCGAACTGCACCGCCTCCTCTGCCCACTTCTCCGCCGCCTTGCGCTTCCCCTCGGCCTCCTCCCTGAGGGCGTCCGCGACGCCAGTCTGGCGTTCGCTCTCCGCCAAAGCAATTCGCTGCTGCTTGAGCTGCTCATCGAGGTACTTCTTCTCCTTCGCCCAGCCTTCCTTCGCCTGCGTCATCTCCATGTCGAGGTCGGCCTTCACATTCACCGCCTCGGACTTCTGCTTGTCCATATCGCTCTTGATCTTCGCCTTCTGCCCCTCAATCTCCACCGCGCATGCGTCGAAAGCGTCCTCCGCGGCCTTCTTCTTCGATATAACCCATTCGCCGATGAGCCGAGACTCCTCCTTCCAATCTTCAATCTTCGCTTCTAGCTCGGCTTGCTCCTGAAGGGCCATGCTCTTCCTCTCCTGCTCGGCATCGAACTGCTTCGTAAACTCCTCTGTCAAGTTGTTCAACGAGTTCTTGGCCTGCTCCACTTCGGCCTTGATGTCGTCCCTGACCTTAATCAGCTGCTGCGTCTCATCGAAGATCTTCTCTTTGGCTCTCACCCTTTCCCGAAGCCTCGCCTTGCGATCATCTGGCAAATCTGCGTCCTCGATCTCTGCTCTCTTCTTCTCCAGGATCATCTGCAGCTCGCTCTCGGCCTCTTGCTTTTCCTGCTCCAGCTTCTCCTTCTCCTGCTGGATGTCCTGCTTCATCTTGATGATGCTGTTCGCTTCCTCCTCCAGAGCGGCGAGCTCGTCGTACTTCCTCTTGCGCGCAACCTCCAGGAGCTGGTGCTTTTCCACTAAGGTCACGTTGCCAGTCTCGGTGTCAGGCACTCCATCCCATAAAGTACCTTCCTCCGCGGTCCCCTCACGAAAGGTGTCGGCATCGACCTCCTCGCCACTAGACTTGTCGACCTCGATCGTCGGGGCGAACCTCGCCTGCAAGTCTGCCGGCGCTGCCGTGAATCCCTGGAGCTCGGCGCGCCTCTCCGCCAACTCGGCGGCGCTCGCACCTGCGGGCTGGCAGAGGTTGCGGGGCAGCCCGCCTCGAGGCCACCCCCAACGCGGGGCCCTCTCGGGGCCCCGGGCCCATCGCGAAGCCTGAGCAATCGCTTTGTCAGAGAAAAAAGGGGGAGTTTCTGAGGGGGAGGGTGAGGAGGTGCGATATCAGCGGTCATCAGCGGTCCTCAGCGGTCTCGACTGACCACCGCTGAGTTCAACGCTCTCTTCGGCGGCGCCAGCCTAGTCGCCACTCGGACGGCGGGCGGACATCGGGCCTCTTTGATTCCCAGGGAACCCGAACCAGCGGAGGGCTCGACTTGAGAAGCCATTGCAGGCGCCGTGCCCGCCGTCAAGGCGGGGAGCGGATCTGGGAACAGTTCAACGCTCAAATGCCTGGGAGCCCTAACACGGGCTACGGATCAAGCCAACGTGCCCTGATCGGGGGGGCCAGCGGAATGAATTGCGGGTCGAGGGGGTCAGGGGCAAAACATCATCACTGACTTGGTTCGCTTCTGGCGCCCCCCTCACCGCCACGGCTGGATTGGCATCGTATTTGAATCCAGAACGCGCTGGGCACTTGGGCCCCAATCCTCGTCACCCTCCCGATGCCTGGCATTTGTATTAACATGCATATTCAAATGCACCTTCGAACTCGGCAAGGGCCTCGACGGGCCGCGAGGGGAATTTCTAAATTCGGAACGCCGCGGGGTCCAAGCCGAGATTACCACAGATGTCTCATTTGGGCCTTCGGGGGCCCTCCTGCTGGGCGCAGCTCGGCAGGGTGGTCGGGATCTAGACTGGGTATCGACGCCCCTCGATGTTTTTCAATTGCTTGCATTTTCTCACATCCTTCACCGAGCGCGAGGCCCAAGGTCACGAGAGCATTCCTAGGCTACCTCCAGGGCCCTCCAGCTGTGGGTAGTCGGACTCCTCGGGGTCGTCCTTGGCGGCGGGCTTCTTGGCGACGATCGAGCTCCCGCCGCGCGGCCTTGGGGGCTGGGCGAGGCGAGGGGGGCCGATCGGGGTCGATGAGGTTGCTGGGGGGAAGGGGGGGAGGAGGCGGGATAAGAGGAGGAGGATGAGGAGGGGGATAAAAAAGGAAGGGGGAAGGAGGAGGTAGGAGGAGGAGGAAGGAGAAATGAGGAGGAGGGGGAGGGAGGAGGAGGAGGGGAACCATGAATGAGGAGGATGGAGAGGAGGAATGATGATGAGGAAGGAGGAGGAAGGGGGAAAGAGGACGCGGAGGAGGAGGATACCCTTTTGGTTCTCGTCTCCGGGCTTTCCAATCCCCGTGGGGGGCGGGGGGGGGGGGGGGCGGGGGTGGGTTGGGTGGGTGGGGAGTGGGGGGGGTGGGGGGGGAGGGGGGGGTGGGGGGGGGGGGGGGGGGGGTGGGGGGGGGGGGGTGAGGGGGGGGAACTCGCGCGTTCAGGGCGTTGTGTATGGTGGTTTTTGACCACCCCGAGCCTCTTCATCGCTGGCTCCTCTTCTTCCTCCTTTTCCTCGTCCTGTTCTTCCTCCTCCTCTGCTTCGCCCTACTCCTCTGCCGCGCTCGGCGTCTTCGCCACAGCCAGCCTTCTCATGCAGGCGCCGTCGGGCTCGTCCATGTGGCCCACTTCCTCGTCCTCTTCGCGCTCCTCCTCTTCCTCTCCCTCCTCCGCGCCGCCTTCATCATCAGGTTCTTCTTCCTCCTCCTCTGCTTCCTCTGCGTCCTCGTCGTCGCCTCGGCCATCTCCGCCGACGGCTGCAGCTGGTCTCTTTGCCGCGGGCTCGGCTGCAGCGCCAGGCCTTTTCAGGGCCGCTGCTGGTCTCTTCAGCATGTTCATCCTGTTGAAGTCGTCGTCCAACTGCTTCTTCTTCGTCTTCGCCTCGTCCAGCGTGAGCGCCCCGCTGCAGATGTCCTGCGCGACCTGGGTCATCCACGCGATGCACCTGTCCTCGGGCAGCACCTTGTACGCCATCTGCAGCTTCTGCGACCCGTCGAACTTGACCACCATTCCTGGATTGTGCTCGTCGAGCTGCTTCTTGACCACCGTGACCCGCACGGTGCCGAACTTGCCCGTGAACAGCGGGCCACGCTCGCGATCTCTGCCGCCCGCGGCCGCCGCCGTCTGGCCGCTCCACGCGGCCGCTGTCAAGGTGTCCAGCTCGCGCTCGTAGCCGTCGTCCCAGCGCGCGAAGGCGAACGTGCAATTCGGCTTCGCGAAGATCTGGTCTGTGGGCTCGGGCGTACGCGAGCACCGATTCCACCTCAGGGCGAGCTTCTTGCCATGGTCGTAGGCAACGTCGACTACGTCGGCCGCCACGCCGCTGCTGCCAGGGGGTCGACTGCGATCGCTGCCGCCCGTGTCGCCGTCCAAAAGCTTGCCCTGGAGCTCGCGCAGCTGCTTCAACCACTGGGGTCGCCGTCCGTGCTGCTGCTCAGCTTTGATCGGATCGTAGAGGTGTCTGCACATGCTCCGTAACCTGTCACGGAGCACAGCTCTACGCCGTGTTGTCTCAAGCTATTCTAAGCACCTCCACCCCTCCTTCCTCCTGCTCCTCCTCGCCTCGTATTCATCCTGTTCACCCTCCTCTGAGTTGCTCCTTCGTATCTGCTCTCCTCCGTGTCTCCTCCTTCCTCCTGCTCCCCTCCGTTTCTCATCCCCCTCGTACTCCTCCTGTTCACCCTCCTCTGAGTCCCCCTGCCCCTCGACCTCCTCCTCCCACCTCGGGGCCCCTCATCCGAAGACGCCCGAGAGAGCCCTTGAGGGCCCGAGGAGGGCTCCAACGAGCCCCACACGTGAGCCAGGCATTCCGTTTTGGAACAATGCTCAAACTCTATCCCTCCCCCACCTCGTCCTCATCCTGGTTTACACCCTGAAACCTCTTCACGTGCTCCTCGGACCAACTCTCGATGGCCTCCGAGCTCATGGCGGTGAACTTGTCTCTGGCCACCGCCTCCAGCGCCCTCTTGGCCGGCTCCTGGTTGAAGCTCAGGTTGGGGCTCAGCGATTCCAAGTCCTTCAGCAGGTCTGCGTTGTCTAGAATGGTATGCTGGCACCTCTCGCAGAACCTGATCGTGTATACATGTATATATACAAGTGCACGTGCGCGCCCAGGCCCCCCCCCCCCCCAAAAAAAAAAAGGAGGGTTGTTTGAAGCAGGAGTGACATTCATCAGCGGAGTCGCACTCGAGCGGAAGTGGGGTTGCCACGCCGTGCGACGCGTGTACCAGGGCTTCCAGGAAGCCCAAGGAGGCCCGACATGGATGCCAGAAGAGGCTCCAAGAGGCCCCAGGATTGTGAGTGTTGTGTGGGTGTATGTGTGGGTGTAATATTTGGTATGTGGTGTGCGTGCTTGTTGTGCGCTGTAGGTGTTGTATGTGTTATGCTTGTTTAGCGTGTGCTGTGTGCATGTAGTTCTGAGGCCCCAGGAGGCCTCGCGCGGCATCAGGAGGCACCAGGAGACCCCGGGAGGCTCCAGGAGGCCCCAAGAGGCCACATGAGGCCGCAGGAGGCCCCGGGAGGTCTCAGGGGATCCCCAGGAGGCTCCGAGGCGGGGCCTCGGGCACCAGAATGTTCAGAAAGCACCTGGAGGCCCCAGGAGGTTCCAGGAGGAGGCGGGGTCTGGGGTACCAGAGGGCACGTCGGGGCTCGATGTTGGGACGATGTTTCAGGCGAAACCGCCATTCGCTGAGAGTCGGGGTCAACATGATTGAGATTACCATTTGGTGTTGCAGGTTCTATGTGAACGCGTTGAACTTCCCATGTGTTTTTTGTTTGACATTGACGTCGCAATCTGCGCGAGGGGCGCCGCCGATTTCCAGAATGTCTAGGATGCCCCTAGCGAGACGGCCAGAAACATCGCGGGCGCGGCGCCCCGCGCACGCATTAATCGCCTGAGATCGGTCGAGAGGTGCGCATGATAATATATGTATGTATATATATATGTACATATACACATATGCAAACGTTGTGAAAGAGAGAGAGAGAGAGAGAGAAAGAGAGAGAGAGGTTATATATATATATGTGCATGGTTTCTCGCGTTCTCTCTCTCTCTCTCTCTCTCTCTCTCTCTTTCTATCTCCCGTTCGCATCGTCGTTTTACTTAAACTTGTAGTTCAAGTATATGCCCACGGAACTTGTCCGAGCCCGGCTTCGTGCCGTACTTAATCCACGACGGCTTGGACACGTGCCGACTCAGGACCTCTCGCAGCTGGTCGGTGTCCCCGAACCTCTGCCTGCTGCCGCCCCCGCTCTTCTCGGACCCGAGCGAGTCCGCCATATGCGGCCCGCGCGGGCCAGCGGGGCTCCTCGCGCCCTCAGCCGAGACCAGAACAAGCGGCCAACGGGAGGGCGGGGGAGCGGGCGGACTCGGCACGGGGCAAAAGGGAAGAGGGCGAGGGAGCGGGGATCTCAACGCCCCGCGTCGTGTTTTTTTTTCCCCCCCCCCTTGGTTTCTTAATTGTCATCGGCCCTCTCGGGGCCTCGTTCCTTCGGCGGCAAACTTCCCAAACTTCAGAAAAGACATTGTGCCGAGCCCGAGGCGCAGCGCTACTATACTACTACTATGACTACTATGACGACTACTACTACTACTACTACTACTACTACTACTACTACTACAACTACTACTAGTACTACTACTACTACTACTATTACTACTACTACTACTACCACCACCACCACCACTACTACTACTACTACTACTACTACTACTACTACTGCTACTATACTATTACTACTACTACTACTACTACTACTACTACTACTACTACTTATACTAGTACTACTACTACGACTACGACTACTACTACTGCTACTGCTACTGCTACTGCTACTGCTACTGCTACTGCTACTGCTACTACTACTACTACTACTACTACTACTACTACTACTAGTACTACTACTACTACTACTTTATGTTTCTGCTAGTGCTACTACTACTGCTACTACTAATAATAATGGTAATAATAATACTCGGACGAGTGAAACACCAGCGTGCACATCGTGCGTGCATATGCACTATATGACATTTATATATATATATATATATATATATATATACATGCACATACATATACGATTGTGCATATACACGCATGTCATCACTGTGCAATCTACACTACACATATGCATACACGATGAGTATGTTATAACGTTGTGATTATGATGATGCCATGATGATTATTTTTATGATGATGGCGCACCAGCTACTTTTAACGATCTCTATTATTTTTAAGCGGCAGCAGCTATTTTAAGCGACACAACTGTTTTAAGGGGCCACCTGTGTAATAGCAAGGCGAGCTCCTCAGGGGAGCTGTCCCACTGTTTCCACCACTGTCCCCACTGTCCCCACCACTGTCCCCACTGTACCTCTGTCCCATTGTCCCACCGCCGTCCTCGCCACCGCCTTTACCAGTGTCCCCACCACCATTGTACCCTCCACTGTCCCAGTGTTTCCACCTCATTCCCACTGTCCCCACACCACTGTCCCCACCACCACCGTTCCCACCACTGTCCACTGTCCCCCCTGTTCCCACCATTGTCCCCACCACTGTCCCCACCACTACCGTCCCCACCACTGTCCCACTGTCCCCCCACTGTCCCCACCACTGTCCCGCTGTCCCCTCACCACTGTCCCCACCAACACCGTCCCCACCACTGTCCGCACCCCCACTCGGTTTTCGAGGGGGGGGGGGGGTTCGAACCGGTAGTGACCCCCCCCCCCTTTTCATGATGAGCTGGGGGGGGGGGGGAGGGGTTCGAACCGGTAGTGACGCCCCCCGGTTTTCCGGAGGGGGGGGGGGGGGGGGAGGGGTTCGAACCGGTAGTGACCTCCCCCGGTTTTCCGCCAGCAGCGGTAGAACACGCTCTTTCATATATATATATATATTATATATATATATATATATCTGTATGCATGCATGCATGCATGCATGCATGTGTGTATGTATGTATGTGTATGTATATGTGCATGTATGTATATGTATGTATGCATGTATGTATGTATGCATGTATGCATGTATGCATGCATGCATGCATGCATGCATGCATGTATGCACGCATGCATGCATATATATATATATATATATATGTATATATCCCGGGGGACGAGGTCCCCCGGCCGAGCCCAAGGACCTCGGAGGCGCATGGGGGTGCAGGGCCCCCGGGGCCGCTCGGAAGGGTTCCCGTTCGGCTCCAGAGACCGCTAGGGCGGGCTCCAGCCCAGCCAAGACAGCCCGCGAGCGCTCCAACACGCGCCAGCATGGCTTCCAGACGAGTCCAGCGGCCACCAACACGCCCCAAGCGGCCTCCAAGACGCCTCCCAAGAGAGCCCCAAGAGTTATGATGTGGCCGCCCCTGGTAAGGCCTCATGTATGAAGAAAGTGCCAGATAGGTCAAACATAGGTTTAAAATAACTTCGTGCATATCGTTAAAAATAGGTACGCCCAGCCCGCCCGCTCGCCCTTCAAGAAGGCGAGGGGCCCACGCGCGAGACAAATCATGTTACAAAGTAAGTCGTTTAGCCACCTGCAGTATTTCGTTATACTTGGCCTCGTTCTAAACGTTGCCCCGATGTGTCTACTCCTTCGTCCCATCAGCAATATGCGCGCTCTTCGGTGATTCCATTCAGGTCACCTCGTTGTACCCCCCCCCCGCAAATCTTACTTCCCCACCTCATTATCACCTACTTTCCCCCATAAGAAACCGCCGGTGTCCGACGTTGCTTTGGGAGGAGGGGGGAGGAGGAGTGCGAATGCGATTTTGGCAGTATGACAGAGAGTCGGATACGCGACGCCCGCGCAGGACGGTCGTTGCGCGCAGGCCACATGTGCAAACAAGTTATGGCCTGGATTGCTTGTGTTTGTTCGTTGGTCCCAGGGCCTGTTAAAGCCTGACCTGGGCAAAGTGAAACATGATTCGACAGTGCGGCGCTATATGTATTTCAAGCGCCGCCACATGCATTTCTGACAACAGTAGCGCGTAGTGCTTCGAAATCGCAAAACGTAATTCCCATGGCCACGTTTACACGTCCCCCCCATGTATAATGAGTCGTGCCCCAGCTTCGAACATAGGACATCCCACGCACCCCATGTTTGAGAGGGCACGCGCGACGCAAAACCTTCAAACGCCAATGCAACATTGAGTTTCGCCTAGAGACAGTCCTTACAATTCCGCGCCTCGCCCAGAGCTTACTATGTCTGCGACTCCCGTTGCTGCATCACGATGCTGCGCCTCGCCGAACGACGTTCCAGGCCAACTAACGTGGGCCAAGCTGCAATGTTGCGCCTTGCCGAGAGACCCCCAGCACAGTGCGGTCGACTTCCCAAAAATGCCTCTCCCATATCTCCCAATAATCATTCGCCGCGTCTGTACATTTTCGCGGAACGGTGACCCACCCCACGCCCCCTTTGCTCCCCCTGCACACCATCCCGTCCTTAGCCATTTTGGCTCGAGAGGTTCTGGCCCCTCGCTCTGGGAACATGATAGCCCTTCATGTTCATTCATATATGTCCATAGTCTTCATAATGTGGGCTGCCGTGGCAGCGACAGTCGCACTGGGGCCCGAACCGCCCGAAGAGGACCCGTGGGGCTCGGCGGCGGCCATCGACGCAGCCAGCTTGGCCCCAGCAGATGCATTAGCCGCCGCCGAGCCGAACATGTTGTTGAATGCGCTGGACGACACTCTGGCACCCCAGCCGACACAGAAAAGATCGAGAACAGGTCGTCCAGCGTCGTGGGTGCGTTCCGTATCAGATGACTTGGATTCGCAATCAGTGGAGTTGGACTCGCCACCAAGGCCCACGGAGTCTGATTCTCATGCGCCCGCGGCAGAACTGGTGACCAGACACACGGGTGTGATCGTGAGGGACTGGGATAAGAGCATGCCAGTTTCTGTTGTATCCCTTGCGCCGCCCAGCCCATTATCACTTCACCTTGAGTCGTGCGTCGCAATGGGGGTGTCACCTGGTGCTGTGCAGCGTCTTATCATCCTGGATGTGGCTCGACATTGGTGCATGTCCTCTGGGCTCGTGCTGAACTGGTCTCAGATCGCCAGGCAGACAGGCCACGACCGCCAGGTCCTGCAGAAAGCGCTTCACCGCTTTGCTGAGGCGTATTTCTTGTGCCATGTTCAGTTGCAGAAGAAGTTCGAGGGCGCCCTGGTGGAATCGCTCGGCAGAGAACGGTGCCTGCTGTACGTCGACACGTCACGCTACGACGAGACCCCCATGAAGACGACGCTGAGGGGAGATGCTGCTGCAGGATCCGCAAGTGATGTCAATCCCCACGCTCTTGTCCCCCTGCCGTTTGGCAGGGAACTGCGGCTCGTGCACGCCCTCGCTGCTCACGAACGAAGTGCTGCGATGGTCACGATGTTCATGGAGATTAACCAAGCAGCGTGGTTGCTCGTCAATGTTGGCGATATCCCAGTGCGGCTGTATATGAATACTGTGTGCCCCCTGCAGCCGATGGAGTCGACGGCTGCGCCAGTGTGCAAGAAAGCAGTGCTACGGAGTTGCGCGGTGTCCACATACAGCGACGGTTTCAAACAACGGATGCGCTTCTGTTGCTCTGACTCCGCGAAGCCCAACATCGTCGTGGATAACAGCATCGCGTCTGACCGACATGGATGGGAGTCCCTGCGCTTGTTCTGCGAAGTTCACGTGACAGCAGGTATCCACAGCAAGACGTTTGAGAGTCTCATGCCTCGCACGATTTCGTCTGTGATTCACGCATCCCTTTCCTTGCAGCTCAGCGGCTATTTGAATCATTTTAGGAAGTGCTTGAGGCACGTGATCAAGTCCAGGATCAAGCTCGTCCCCGAGGGGCTGCCAGATGACGCTGTTAAGTACAAGAGACCTGTCATCAAGATGTTTGTTTTCGAGACTGGCCCTGACAGGGAGGTGAAGAAAGTAGTTGTCGCTTGCCTTCCACGCGGCGACTGGAGGAATCGATATTACGTCGAGGTATGCGTGCCACACGGGCTTGTGGCCGACATCGACGTAGCTGCAGTGGCAAGCGTCATGGAGAACGGTCTCAGTTTCGCCCTGGTGAGCGCGAAGCCTAGCGCGTGGCCGAGACATCGGTGGACGGGCTCAGAGATCGCAATTGATTTTTTGGGGCGCTTCGAAGCAATACACGGGCTGGCGTCTGCGACGTATCCTTTGTTTTCTCGAACCCTCGGCAAAGAATTACCTCCCGCGGGCCCTATTGGCGGGGCGGTGGGCGCCGATGGTGCTGCTGGTGTGTTGGACGACGGCGGGGTCGATGATGTCGCGC